CAATTATTTTGATTTCTGTTATCAATTTATCTAACTAATTGAGGATGTAATTGTTTCTAGATGGTGAACAAGTATATAAGAAAGAGCAACAGAGGTTCTTGGACTGAAGAAACTGCAGATGGCGATGGATGAAGGTTTTGTGTATTATGTGGAGAACCATATGTGAAACCGCCCACAGAGGAATGGGTACAGTGTTCAGTATGTTGTGGTTGGAAACATGAAATATGTACAGGCACAAAAAATGGATGTTTTTTTATGTGTCAATTGTAAAATGTAGGGATATCCTATGTATTCCATCTTGCCTTCAGGTAATACTTTCAAGGTAATACTTACAAGGTAATACTTACCTTGTAAGTATTACCTTGTAAGTAAGCAAGGTAATATTTACCTTGTAAGTAAGCAAGGTAATACTTACCTTGCTTACAAGGTAAGTATTACCATTTTGCTTTTATACAAAGTATAGTACCTATCAGGGATAGATTGAATGAATTGATATTTAAAGAGGAAAAAAATTCAAGGATTTTTAAAGCGTTGATATTATTATTGGCAATGGCCATTTGGGCAAGATGAAATAGTTTCCATGTTGCCCGCGCCCAATTATTTTCATTTCTGTTTTCAATTTATCTAATTAATTGAGGATGTAATTGTTTTTAGATGGTGAACAAATATATAAGAAAGAGCAACAGAGGTTCTTGGACTGAAGAAACTGCAGATGGCGATGGATGAAGGTTTTGTGTATTATGTGGAGAACCATATGTGGAACCGCCCACAGATGACTGGGTACAGTGTCCAGTGTGTTGTGGTTGGGCACATGAATTATGTACAGACACAAAAGGTGGACGTTTTTTATGTGTCAATTGTAAAATATAGGGATATCCTATGTATTCCATATTGCCTTCAGGGTGAGGGCAAGATGGAATTTTTTACGTTTTTACTTCATGATTCCTAACAGATTTTATGCTTAATATTAATTATTTTTAATTACACTGTTTTTTAACCATCGAAGATCTCTGTCGAGACTGATTAAAATAACAGCTTTATATTATGTTGTTTTATGTTTTTTTACATCATAAAGTTAAACCTTCCATCCTGCCCTCCCTTCCCCTATATATATATATATATATATATATAGATATAGATATAGATATAGATACAGAATAGATATAGATATAGATATAGATTTAACGGAATTTACCATTAACGTGTGGATTTGATACAACTTGACAAGTTTCAAATGACGAAAGCACGTCGGGTTCCGTATTTTCCACTTCTTTCCGGGTCTTATGTACCGGTTCCGAGTTATTTTGCAACATATTTGGTTGCCCCGGATGTAGCGACATTTCTGCTACAGAAGAAGAATCCGATTGATGTGTTTGCATCTCACACGGAGGAAATTCTTCGAGAGGTTCACTTCCGTTCATTTCTGCTTGAGGCTGATACTGAAATGCCTGCAAGCCGGAATCCACGACTCCAGATGGCGATCCGTAAACACCATCTTCACTTGGAAGTCGATAAGCAAGCATTGTAGGGGCTTGCTGATGTGGAAAATGTTGAACATATAATCCATATCCTTGTGGCAGGACATACTAAAAAATTAAACATAGAATTGATTAGTTACAAATATATCAAATATTGAACTTATTTTTAATTTCTAATTGAAGCAATCTAACATAGACAAATTTTCTTCTTCGGGAACATTTATAATTATTTCAGTAGTGTATATTTAGTATCTGATTTAATTAATACAAATAGCAATTATTGAAATTCTTATATTAACGCGTCGCTTAGTAAAATAAGCGACAAGAAACACTGTAATCTTGATATTAAAGTCATCCATTGAAACAATATTTTTAACATAATCGTAAGTTTTAATTCATTTTATGGTTCTGTATCCAGCAAATACTTTGTCTAACTTAAATATTGTAATGTTTAATTTTTGTCTTTTGTTGTATGAATTTTCGTGTGATTAACCCAGGATTAATTAAGAATTCCTATTGACATTATTTGGTAAATCATAGAAGTTTCTGCACACCCTCTAAATAATTTTGTATTCGTTCTTGTGTGAATAATATTTAGAATATTTCAAAATTTCTCTTTTCACTTACCTGATAATCATACTTTACGTAGAAACCATCTTCGTACTGGAAAATAGTTTCGATACAAAAGCATTCAATATCTGTAAACAGTAATTTTATAATTATTAAATGTAATTAATGGCAGTCGGTCATTTTCATTTTTTAATCAATTAATTGAATATTTATTTTCTAAAAGTTATATTAATAATTGCGGTGAATTTATTTATATTAGCTACCTGCTGTCATCTAAGGAATATAATTATAATTACGGTATATATAATAGAATAAGGTAAACTTACTTATTGTATTCATATTGAAACAAATATTTCGCATTAAGAAAAATTGCATCGAATAAAGTCTTCGACAATTAGCTGAACTCGCTTTGACAATGGTCAAAACTACAAGCATTTATTGTTAACGCAACAATAGATAATAATTATTGTTGCGCTGCGCGTCCGACGCGCGTCACGCGCGCGATAATCAGTTAATTGCTTATTTCTTTACGAAAAACCTAATATAAAAATCGGATGATTATCTCTACTTACCATTACTCTATTTGCAGCATTTTACTGGTTTTGCTTTTATTCATTCGTCAATAACCTAGCTACGAATCTCGATTTAATATCTTTCTTCAACGTGTCGCGTCGCTTTGCGTTTCTATATTAGTTTTTATTTATAATATTACAACTTTGTGTCCAGGGGCGGAAAGAATAAAATAAATTGCATGCAGTAAGAAAAATTAATGTTGTCAGAAAAGAATTTTAAAACTACATTCTTTGCTTCTGAATATAAATTTGGCTTTTTATTAATTTGTTGATTTGTAACATGAAATTTTACCACATAATTTAATAAAGTGATCAAAGAATGATCTTTTACTTAATCTTGAAACTTTTCTACTTAAGAATGATCTTTTACTTAATCTTGAAACTTTTCTACTTTCTAATTTTCCTGTTGTTCAATGGTAAATAATAATAAAATCAATGGTAAATAATAATAAAATTAATTTATTCTAGATTATTTTCGATTTAGCGATACTACTATTATTTTAAAATATTTAATTTATTTATTTTTGAAAAATATAAACATCATATAAATAATATTTTAGATCACCATATTTTATTTATTTATTTAAGGGAATTTAATTCTGAACTGTACATTTAAGCAATAACCATAATTTTTTAAAAGACTTTTTGCAAATTGAAGTAATAAATATATAGGCTTATAATATAGTGAAGAAAATGAAAATTTATTATTATTGTGTTTTTTTTCTTTGCAATATACTTTTTATATTGATAAATATACAAAGGTATAAGAAATAGGCTTTCATGCCATTGACAGAAGCTTATTATTAATGTACGGCAGCAAGAGTTGTGATAACAAGTTTAATCATAGTTTTATGTAACATACACTTAATTATTAATTAATTATGAGATTGATTTTACTTGGCTAGCATAATTTTTTTTAAGAGGATAGAATAGGATATCCGATAATTTCATAAATAAGACATAACTACTAAGTGAAACAAATTTTTAACATTTGCAGTCGTTTAATTTGTTTTGATAACATATGGCAAAGCACATAGGCGAACTGTCAACAGAGTCATAGAAGGCATTACACTCTGTGAGAAACTGTCTTTATTTGAATGTTAGATATGTGAAGAAAATTCGGAAAACTCTACTTGGCTAGCCCGTTGGCAAGGCGTGAACTCGCGATCAATCAATTACCAGTTTTCAGTGGTTTTATCCACTCGTCCACTAGTAGCAGTAATTATTTGCCAAAGGTGTTTAATTAAGTCACAATAACATAGTTCTGATATATTCACAATAAATAATTTTCTAGTAGAACAAAAAATTGCTATAGCTAATCCTAGGAGTCCATTATTATTTATTCCAATCCTTTCTTATTAATCATCACGATCTCTCTCTGCCAAATGTTTATATTATGGCCCCAACAATTTTACTTACTATAAAATAATGAAAATCACAAAACTATCAATATTCAATTCATATTACAATATCTATTATATTTAAGTTAATTTATTTAATATCTTTCAATAAAGCGGGAATCTCTTGTCTTTAAAAACAAATAAGTTTTTCTGGTTAAAATGATCTAGGTAATTTGTGTTCAAGTAATCCGATAATTAAAAAAAAGAAAAAAAACTGCATATTATAAAAATCTTGGAGGGACATTTGAAATGAACTGATGTTTTATGGTTTTATCCAATTTAGCATTGGAGGACCGCATCGGTTTCGTCCATAGATCATCCCCACAGACATGGACATCCGTAGAAAATTTTTTAGAGGAGCGAAGCTTCGAAATAAATAATTACTTCAATAAATTTTTGTTTAATTTTTTTGGGTGTTTTTTGTAAGTAGATTATAGAATATAGTATTGTATCAATGCAACAGAGCAGATAAAGCGTTCCATAGTCGAGGATGTAAGGTTATGTATCGTAATCACTTTTTCGATTACAAATTCTGGAAATTTTTACTCGCTCTCAGGATAAAAATATCCTATTTGTCTCCTTCTGTGGACGCCCACAGATCTTTTTTAAAATCTCCATCCGCCCTGTGGACATCAAGACGGCATTTTTAGCAAGCTTATTGTGGGTTCGGTCAGGTCCACGGGCGCTTGGGTCGTGTGGACGGGATTCGACATATATCGGACGGACAACCATCCGGATTTTCCCGAAGTTTTTCGACACATTCGAATTCGATTCCGGGTCCTTTAGAGATGAAAGTTGCCACCTTAACCGCTCGGCCCTATACATCCAGCATTATCTTCGCAGGTCGTATAACATCAGTTTTATAAAATTCTTCTCACTATTTAATAATTTTGTATTACTATACCACTTTGTTAGACGGCCGAATGGTCGATCAGTTGAGGTGTCAACCTATCACTCAAAATCAAACCTGTATAGATAAAAAAAACTTCAGGAAATTTTTCATGGACGATGCGTTCCGGTTATGTCAAACCTGTCCTTTATCACCCGATTGCCCCATTGTAGGCCTGACATAATCCATAATGGTTTTTTTTTTTTTAACTCTTTCCACTCTGTGGGCACTAAGAGGGCCTCTTTTTAGCAAGTCCATTATGGATTCGGCCAGGCCCACATTTGGGCGGCCGGGTGGTGAGGAACGGGAGACGATATATCCGGTTGGACCACCCCCGAAAAATTCCTGGGGATTCGATCCCGGGTGTCCCAGAGCGATAGACTGCCATCTTGACCGAAAAAAAATATTTTTAGTGCCGACAGGGCGAAAGGAGTTTGTTGTAAGTCAGATAATTGTAAATTATAACGAAAAAAATTATTAATTTTATTTCATCTATAGATAACTTTTTAATGATTTATATTTAAAACTTTTAAATTAAAATGATTTGAAAAATAAGTCAGCATCCATGACATTAAAAATATTATAATTAATTAATTTCTTTATTTATTATTGTCACAAAACATGAATTTAAATTTTGTATTATTTTCCAACAAAAAATTTAATAATATTATTAAAACATTTTAAATATAAAAAATATAAAAAAAATTTCTCAATAAATATTATAAACAATAAAAACGAGTTTCAGTTTTCAAATCAAAGCGCCTCACGCGGTATATAAAATTAAAAGCAAATTTATTAATTTTGAAAAAAATTTTTAATTAAATATTTATCACTTAATTCTAATTAAAACATTAATATAATTAATACATTTTATAGAAACGCCACGAATAATTGGCATTTTAAACTAACAATTTATAAAAAATTAAAATGATGAAAAGTTGAAAATAAAATAATCTCGTTCTCTTGCGTCATTATCCGCCATTTCGGGTTTCTAGTATTTGTCTTAAAACTGTTACGAATTTATTGTTAAAGTAGTCAGGTTTCATTGCTATGTGAAAATATATAATGGATAAACAGAATAAGGTAATTAAACGTTCAGAAAAATCCAAAATGTTACAATTTTAAGTATATTAAAGCCATAAACAGTAAGAAACCACGTGGAATTTATTCATATATTAATTATGATAAAATTTTACAAAATGATCGTATTAATTATTTGTTTAATAAATTTAGGTGAAATTTTAAAAAGTAGCGCGTATAATTATCATTGCATTTGGTGAGAATTGAAGACAGACATGTTTTCATTTATTTTCTTTGTTTGTGACTTTAATAATTCAAAAAGAAAAGTATCATGTATTAATTTCTTTTACATATAATGCTGTATTGTTCATTTTAAGTATAAATTATCTATTTAACATTTTTTAAATATGATTTTAAGATTAATAGATCTGGGAATTTAAATTTATTCATAATCATATAATTTTTTCCACCAGTATTAAATGTGCTTTATGATATGACATTTATTTTCATTTAATGGCTTGTTTTTTCTAATGGATTTGATGATTTTTGAGTAGTTTATTTTAAAAAAAAAGGAAAAAAATGAAATGAATTTTTTATGTGGTTTACTTAATGTTTGTATGCCCTTTGTGATGCACTTAAGACCCCCGTGAGACAGGAATACAGACACTTACTCTGAATGCTTTATTCGGGGTCCTACTTGGACCGGGTGATCTTTACTCTTATACATTAGTCAGGGCCGTCTGTCTTGCACGTCCCCCCTCTCTCTGGTGTTGCCAGTTCTTCCCGTAACATGTTTCCTTTTTTTTTTTTAATGACAAATGAAATGACTAAACACATAAAACTTAAATACGTACATATTTACAAATTGAGTCAAGCAGGAGCTTTAATGATTCTTCCTGATCTAGTTTTTTGTGTTGGAGTTTGAAACTCCTTTTGTTTTGAGATTGCTACTTCTTCCTTTTCCTCAGTTTGTTCCTTTCCGTATTCTTGTTTCTCGTCACTTTTCTCTTGAGGTGCTTTTCTGGGGCTGTGATTCGGTTTCAGATGCACTCTGTTTCTTCGGTATTGTTGTCCGTGAGAGTTTTCTATTAAGTATGATTTGGGTTCATTTAGCAGTTATACAACAGTTGCCGGAGACCATTCTTTTCCTGTAAGCACTAAAATTCGCGTTGACGGTCTCAACGGATTGAGGGGAACACTACCTCTGCCATAATAGATTGACATCCTGTTCTGGTTTTGCTCTAGTTGTTGTTGGATATCCTCTCTATGAAATTGGCATTGGTGATAATGGGATGATTTGCATGGAAGTGTTGACCTTAAGTTTCTTCCAATGCACAGCTGAGCTGGAGATGACAAGTTCCTAGGAGTGTTTCTCCAGTTTTGCAAAGCCAAATACTGATCTTGACCTGATTCTGTTGTCTTTTTAAGTATATTTTTTATTTTTTTCACATGCCGTTTTATGTGGCCATTACTCTGGGGATATTGAGGACTAGATGTACAATGCCTGATACTCCATTTGTCGCAGAAGCAATTAAAAGCTGCTGACGAGAATGGGGGACCATTATCCGTCATCAATATTTCTGGATTTCCAAATTGCGAAAAGGTTTCTTTGAACTTGGGAATAACTTTGGAAGCATCAGTCGATGGCATTTTATAAACTTCTGGATAGGCACTGTATCTATCCACAATTAGCAAATATGGACTGTTGGCCAAATAGAAAATATCCGTTGTTGCTTCTTGCCATGGATATGTAGGAATTCTGTGGGGTATCAGAGGTTCTTTTGTCTGAGCTGGTCGAAACCTTTGACATTGTCTACAAGATTTTACTGCTTCTTCTATGTCACGATTTATTCCTGGCCAGTATACCTTATTCCTCGCACTACTGAGTGAAGTGTTGATTTCCAGATGTGCAGCATGAATTTGCTGTAGAACTCTGGTTCTTTGTTTCTGTGGAATTATTACGGTAGGTCCTTTACATATAATATCCTTCCATAGGTGTAGGTCTTCTTTAAAATCGTAGTAGGGTTTGATGGGATAGACTTTTTATGTACCGGCCATCCTTCTGATATGTATTTCTTTACAGTCTGCAGACTTTGATCTTGTCTTGTGTTTTCAGCTAATTCTGTGAGTTTGGTGTCTGTAATTTTCATACCAACGGTTCTTATTAATACTTGTTTGTCTAGGTCTGGTGTTGAAAAATTGGGTGTAGAATGCCTTATGTCCCTTGAAAGAACATCTGCAATAAGATTATCTCTTCCTGGCTTGTAGTATAACTTGAAATTGTGTGCCAATAACTTTAGCATTAATCTCTGCAGTCTAGGAGACAATGCACTTAATAGTTTTTTAATTAGCGTGATTAAAGGTTGGTGATTGGTATATGCTACAAACGATCTTCCAAGTAGCAGGTGATCAAATTTTTTACATCCATAATATAAGGCAAGTAGTTCCTTTTTGATTTGGGAGTAGTTTTGTTGTGTATCATTCAAAGATGATGATGAAAAAGCTAAGGGTTTTCCTTCCTGTGAAATTGTTGCTACTAGAGCATGTTGACTGGCATCCGTATGTAGGGTTATAATTTTGTTTGTATCAAATTGTGCTAACGTTTGAGGCTGCATTAGAATTTTCTTTATATAATTAAAATCCCTTCTTGCCTCTTATGTCCATTCAATATTTTTCCTGAGCAGCTGCCTAAGATTGTGTGTGAGATTTGATAAATTAGATAAAAATTTGCCTAAATAATTCACTAATCCCAAGAATCTTTATAATGTTTTTTGGTTTTCTGGTTCTTTTAATTATTGAATGGCAATAAGTTTTGATTCTTCTGGTTTTATACCATCTGGCCCTATTATGTGCCCTACAAAGGTGATTTGCCTTTGTGCCAGTTGGGTCTTGCTTTTTTCAAATTTAAGACCATGAGTTTCTGCTCTTTGTAAGACTTTTATCAGTTTTTGATTATGCTCTCTTAATGTGTCGCCATAGATTAGAACATTGTCCATATATGTGTAAATGCCTTCAATATCTGAAAGTATTGTGTCGATATTGTGTGAAAGTATTGTATCTGAAAGTATTGTGCTCTTTGAAAATGCTCTGATGCTGTTGTGATTCCAAATGGCAATCTTGTAAATTTATATTTTCTGAAAGGTGTATTCATTATTAACAGTTTTTTTGATTGTTCTTCTACCGGTAGCTGAAAGAAGGCTGATTTAGCATTCATAACTGTATAATATCTAGCTTTTGGAATGCTCGATAACAGTTCTGTTGGCGATGGTATCTGATAATTATCTCTAATAATGTATTTATTTAACTCATGCGGATCTATACACAGGCGTAATTTTCCTTGTTTCTTTTTAACAATGACCATTGGGTGGAGCCAACTAGAAGTTTCTTCTGTCTTTTTTAAGATTCCTTTTCTAACCAGATCCTCTAATTCTTGTGTAACTTCTCTTTTTAAAGCTTCTGGGATCCTTCTAGGAGGAACAAGTTTTGGAATTGCATTTTGATTTAATTTGATTATAACCTCATGTTTGAGTTTGCCACTTCCCTCAAACACACTGGAATAGGATTCCAAAATATTTTCTGGGTCAAGTTCAGGTGTAATAGAATTTATCCTTTTAATAAGGTTTAGTTTTTTGCATGCATCTCCGCTCAATAGAGGTAGCCCACGCGTCCTGACGACAAGGAATTTGCTCATGGTTTCATGGCTTCCAGACTTGAGTTGGAGGTGACATTCACCGATAATAGGTATTTTCTCGCGTGTGAAGGTATAGGCTTTGACCTTAGTCTGTTTTATCTTTGGAGAATACTTATATCAGGCTCCTGTGTGGCTTTGGAATTGCATTTTGGAATGCAACAAAAAGCTTTGCTTTTCTTATTGGTATTGATCTTTACTGCTGACAATACACAAGAATGATTCAAACCACCTAGATAAAATAGTTTTGTTTTTAAATACTAGAGGATGAGCATCTGGTGAAAAATTAAAATACAAATGACTAACGTCAAGAAGTGAAATAGAACAATACAAGCACATACATGTACTGTACACTTCAAGCTTGGACTAAAAGTTACAAAATTTACAAAAGATGTTATTATTTAACAGGCTAAGACCTGCAAAAATACTATCTTATAAATAGAACACTATAATGGGCTATAATGGATTAAAGACCTTTCTTTTTAAATAAAAAAGAAATTGTTTTGAATCGCTAATAATTTCACACTGATACATTTAAATGCTGTATACAGGTAACCCCCGTATAACACGGTAGTTACGTTCCAAAAAATTGCCGTGTTATGCGAATCCGTGTTATACGAAACAAAGAACTAATACAAAAAGGAGGGTTAGGTTCCAAAAATTAAAAACACATGCTAGTATATTTTCATAATTAAGTTAAATATCTTCATTAAAATTTTTTTAAGTGATACATATTAATATAAATTAAACAATATTTTCTTCATCATCACTAAAAACACTATTAATTAACCGAGAGCGTCTTCTTTTTGGAAGTTATCCTTATTCTCTGAGCATTTTTCTGCATTATCTTCAGATCCATGCTTTACCTTTTGCAAAATGTATGTAATTTTAGATTGCTTGCTTCTAGTTAAAAGGTCTTTATAAATTTCCTTATATGGTGCTAAGCACTTATGAAGAATAAAGCAAGTATGGAATAAGGGAAAAACATTCGGCAACATCAGATGCAGAAGCGTCGCGATCTGGCAACATTGAAACAAGTTTCGAGAAGGACCACGTGTATCGACAGAAGGCGAGAAGAGAAAATTTACATACTTAAGTACTAATAGTTCACGAAAATAATAATTTTCGTGAACTATTATTACTTAAGTATGTAAAAATTTATTACATTTCCTGTTGTTCGAGGGTTTTACCCAATTCTCGAACCATGTCAGAGTGAATCCGTGCTATAAAAGTACCGTGTTATACGGGGGATGGTACCAATTCTCGAACCGTGTTAGAGTGAATCCGTGCTATAGAAGTGCCGTGTTATACGGGGGATGGTACCAATTCTCGAACCGTGTTAGAGCGAATCCGTGCTATAGCAGTGCCGTGTTATACGGGGGTTACCTGTACTTTTAATTATACTTTAATGTTTTCTGTCATTTTTAACAACCAAATTTATTCAGAATATATTTTTCTTTGAAAAAATTGTTAAAAACAACCAAAAATGTTAAAGTATAATTTAAAGGTATCAGTGTGAAATTATTATTAGTATTTAGAAATTGCAATTTTTTGAAACAGTTTTTGAATTGTGAATATTTTAATTTTAAAAGTTATTTTTTTTTCACTTTAGTATTAAATGTCATATTTCTTGAAATGAGATACAGTCGATTACAACATCCACTATAGCATTTTCTGTATTTATTTTCACATTAATTAAGATGTTTTTAAATCATATCATTCTGAATTAGCAATTCATTATTTAGTTCATGACATTTATATTGTTTACTATTCAATGATTATTTATATTTGTTTCATAAAGGTTTCCAGGTGTTAAATGATTCCCTTTCTAGATAGCAAAATTTCTTTTATTTTCAAAACTGACACACTGTAAAATGAGCCAATGATATATAAACCATCTTATACTTTATCTAGAAATTTGAGATTACACCATAGATTTAATACCTTTAGTGATTTCATTTTGTTATTTAACTACATTTAAGGGATGAAATCACTAAGTAGTTTATTTTAAATTGATTTGAAATATTGACGATTTTTGATTCTTAAAAGTGCTCTGTAATCATATTTTTGATTGTTATATTTTCTTTATTGATTCTATTTTGCCATATATTTAATCTCTATTTAGAGTGTGGAATTCTTTTCCCAGAAAAACTAATTTTTGGACTGATCCAATGATACATACTGGTAAGAGCCATTTTCTATCTTATCAAAGGTGTTCTGGGATCATATTTCTTATATGCATATTACTGCAGAGGTTTCATTTGGAATAAAACTATCTTTGATCATTGATGCCATTCTAAATTTTATCTGAGATATTCTGGAGCCATTTTCCAATTTACATCTAAAGACTGAAATGGAACCATTATATGTGTATTATAAATATCATTAGCAGGATCCCAGAAAATTTTCTGGATAAAACAAATTTGTATATTCTAGATGGAATTGGCTAAATAGTAACGAAACTTTCATGGATTATGGTATTGATGTTACCAGTGATATCTTAGAACACTGATAATTTAAGAAATATATTACATATAGAATATTCATGGAGTAGTTTCTAGCCAGAAAATGGTTTTTCTCTAGATTGGATTACTTAAGTAGTAAAATTGAATCTTTAGAGAAATGTTTTCTTTAGCAATATGGAGCTGAGTGGAGAAACTTTTATTGACTCAGTGTGCAGTGGCATGGTTTTTTAGTTAAAAAAAAAAAAGTACTTTAGATAAAACTTTTTAAAGATTAAGAGATAACTTTAGCAGAATCAACTGATAGCTTTTAATAGAAAATAGCTTTTATGTCTCTGATTTGATCTACAACGGATAATTTTTTGATTTTATTCTCTTTTTGTCTGAGTTTTATTAGATGTAAGTTGAGCTACAATATTAAGTGGGGTAACTGTAAATATTGGTATTGATTTTCCATTGTTTACAATTTTTTGCAACTTAAGAAAGCACAGCTGATTATTTCATTTTTAGTAGCTTTGCTATCTTACTAATGCTATTCATATATACCTCTGTAACTTTCTCTACTAGGCATATTAATAGAGATAATTTTTAAAAAATGTACATTTACCCACCTCAATGGGATAATTGTGTATCACCGTGTTTTTGTGCTTAGGGTGCTAAATGTCTGTATGACATGGAAAATATGTAAATTAACACAAATCTTTAAGGTGCAAAAGGAACAAAATTGGGCAATTTTATTTCACTTAGCAGATGTAAAAGAGACAGGAAATTTGCATTGATAATTACCAGAATGCTCACAATTAATTTGATGCAGAACTTTTTGTTCTATAAAAATTAGGCTAACAAGAAAAGTCCTTAGTCGTAAAGACCAAATCCTTAGATTCATTGGGCCTAGTTGCAATGATGATAAGTAATTGCAATAATGTTGATAATGTCCAATGCTGTGAAGACATCCTCTCATAGTTTGTTGTATTTGTGGACACTTCAAGATGATTATGGAAAGTTAAAATTGTCTTCCTTAGAAATATACTCTATGCCCACAATCAACATTTTCAATGTCTAGTATAATCCTTAAGGGATTTTTGTTGGAGGGGGACATAATGTGGACACAATCTTAGGGTTTGGATTTTTGCATATTGTTGGAGTTTGATGTTGGTGAGTGTTACTTTTTGGACTGCAAGTTAAAAAAAATTGTAGCCCTATAAATTTCCACTGTCGTCTGTCCGTCTTTCTTTAATCTCGAGAACGGAGTTAGATAGATGAAAGACAAGATCAGGTATGGTATCCTTAGGAGCAGAAGGCCCTGATGAACTATACATGAACTTCAGATGCAAACCAGAAGTCATGTGATTTCAATGCAAAAATTTTCCCTGAAAATTGTTAGATAGATGACGAGTAAAGCCTGGTACTCACATGCGGCAACAGATGACAGAAACGGTTCCTGTTCCGTTGCCTTTCTGTATTGTGTGTACTCACGTGTGGAAATTACCCTACAATTAAAATGTGCCATCTGCCAGCTGTAAATATAAACAAGCTACTATAGTAGGTAGACCAAGTGCCAGTAGTCGAAAATGGCATCTACTGGGATTGCTTTGTTATATCAATTAAACTTTTTAAGTTTTCCTTTGATCTTATTGCAAATAAAAAACCTCAAAAATGAATAATTTGGATAGGAAAAATATTCTAAATCATCGAAAGTTAGGAATATCAAATACTTTTGTCACCGAATTACGATTACTCCATTCCCAATACTTTATGCAGTAAGTAAGTCTATTTGACATTAATATCTAAATCAGATAGTAATATAGCGTATAAATGAAATATATTAGTGTATTAGTGTACAAATAAAGCTTTAGCTTGCTGATCGCCATAGTTTGAATGGTATTGTACCACGTGATCTTTATAATGACATTGCTAAATGGCCTTCCTATTGGTCTAATTTTTGCCGTTCCGCTTTCCATGACGGCAAAGGTTGAAAATTTTTAACTTCATATTTCATCGGCTTTGACAGCAAAATCGACGTCACTTTGCTGTTCCATCAATGGTTTCCGTTGTCCATTGCCGCATGTGAGTACCAGGCTTAAGACTATTGTTAAAAGAAAAGTATGATGTACAGGAGCAAGCCACTACTAATTTGATGTGGAGAGCATTGTAGCCTGGCATTATGACAATGTCATAACAAATAATTTCCTGTTTCTACATGTAGCCTGGCATTGTGACAATGTCATAATAAATAATTTCTCTTTCTACATGTAGTTTTTAATAAAATCAGCAATTTATCATGTAACTATTTTCTTTTAGATCTTGATGTCATTTATAAGTGGGTAAAACTTGCATGAATAAACAATAAACAAGGAGAGAACTTGAAAAGAAATACACCTGTAATTAATAGTGCCTGAAAGGCTTAAGGCAAACATATACTTTCACACTTCACTGTAAAGGGGTTAACATGTTAACTTCTTTTTTTACTTCTATTTTTTCCTCTTCCAAGTGTTGCTAGGCTTCCAACCCTGTGTCCTTCGTTTAATTCTTGGTGTTTCCTCCAGATGAAGTCATGCTCTTTCTGTTTGCTGATATCTTGTACTACAGGGATGCACAATAAAGTACAACTTATTGTGATATACAAAGTATTGTGATATACAATATAAACATTTTAATTAAGTATGTTTTATAAAAGTAATTATTTAAACACTTTTTTAATGCTGACTGATGATAAACTTTTTAATTGCAGACTTCAAAAATGAATGAAAAAACTGAAAAAAGTGATGACGATGTTGTAATTCTTGATGAAGATAGAGGTTAGTTTAATCTTATTAAAATTTGTAGTAAATAATTAATTTGCAATATGAAATTGAAAAAATTTTTTAAAAATATAACATAATTTTCAATTTGATGTTCTGAATATGTTTTACATGACTAGGTTTTCAAATTATACTGTAATATAATGCAACCATTGCTGCAGTTACAAGAATTATTATATTAAAAATTTTAATAATTTATTTTAATTCTTAATTTTATATATATTGTTGCAGATAGAACAATCTCAGAAACAGAAAAATTATTTACATGTACTAAATAAAATTTATTAATGTAAAAAAAAAGAACAAACATTTAACAGGAAAAAAAAAGTGAAAATTGCTCTCTAGTCTTGGAACGGAATGGTTCCATGAGCATTTCTTCAATTTGAATAATTTTTAAAGATTGGCATGGATTTATTTCATTAGAAAGGATCCACCACAAAAATCTGTTTTTCTGCTATATATATGAAACATAATCTATATATGTTTTATTAAACTTAAATTAGTTTTTTGTTTTAGAAGTAATTAAAAAAATTTATTTAATCTCTAAAAGAAAAATATCTTTCTTTAAAGATTTAATTTTAATTATTATTATAAATAATCTTAGAGTATTAGTATGACTCTTTATATTTCAAGTATAATTGATAAGAAATACTGTGTACCATTCTTGAAATTTTTGTTTTAACTTTTTTTGATATAATATGTATTCAATCTTTGTTTAATTAAGATAAGAATAGTTATATTTTTTTATCTATATTATTATTATTACTAATGTTATATAGTTAATATCTATTTCATTTTAACTTTAACCGACCTTCCCATTTTTTAAACTTTCTATGATTGTTACAAAATTTTAAAGTTATTCCAATTAGAAATAACTAAATATGCATCTATCAGAAACATCAATCTGTGTAGCAAACTATGTACTGAAGGAGCTTTAAATTAAAAGGCTAAAACTTATATGTTCAAGTTTTCAGTTATTTTTTTGTAGTTTATTTTAACATTGAATTTAACATTAAATTAGTTTATCAGATAAATTGCATTTGCTGTAGCTTTTCAGTCTATCTAGTATAAGGAGTGAACATGTCCAATCTTTCCTGCAGTAACACTTGAAACTAGAAAACAGTGGTGGATAATATTCAGAGATTTATTTATAACTTCAAGAGGCTGCTTGAAGTGAAAAAAGACACAGCAGTGCAATTTTGTGGAATCAATTTCCATTTGCAATAGATTTCAGTTCATTATGGAGAAGAATGCTTTCGTAGGCTGATGCAAAGTGGGATTGTAGTGGGATTGTTGTTGCAACCAGACTTTCTTCTGATGACACTAAAGAAAAGTTCTATGTGATCTTGGCTGAGCTTATATATCAAAATATACCTGTTTACATACATTATATGGAAGTAAAAAATTTGTTTATGCTTCCCTCCCCAAATTTAGTTTATTCAACTATTACACATACCTAAACAAAGCATTATCTTCTAATAACAGTTTTTTACATAACCTTTGCAAGCTGTGACATGCAACAGTAAAATCTAAAAAGCTCATTATCTTGAAGTCTATAAACAGGCAATCATTTCTGGATTCTTGAATGTTCATAAATTATTTTTCAGTTTGTTCAGAAATGTTTCTATGTCATCATAATTCCATTTAGAAATATCTGCTTTCCAACCTTTACTTGATGTATTCTTATATGAAGTATGTCGAGCAGCCTGAAAATATTTGTTTCATAAATAAAATAAAATACTAGCAGTCATAACTAGTGTATTTTGACCAACCCATTGATGACAGAAAGAATGTTCAATTGCTTTGGATACCTCAAAACCAGGAATTTTATCCTTAACATTTTAATTCCTTCTGTTTACAGAATTGCTCAGCAGTTGAGCAACCAGTCAAGCATTTTTTCCCCTGTCACTGCATATGAACATTTCTGAGCTTGGCCAAATAAAGTCCTTCATATTCTTGAACATTGTAGTTCTGATGCATATTTTGTTAATTAACGAAATTCTTGGTGATTGCACAACCTTCAGAGAATTCTTTACTAGACAGACTGTTCTTACCAAATTCTTAACTTCTGAAATATTCTGGGACAAGTAATACCCACATCTGGCTCACTAATTCCAGAAATGAACAGGAGGATCAAACTAGCAGGGCTACATTTGGATGAAATTCTGAGATCTTCAAGTCTAAAATGCCAATCCACTTTATTATATCCCTTGCTTTCTAATCTGTGCAACAGGGCATGGCCAATGCCCTGTAACACATATGGTTTCTCATTGTTGAATCCATCCTGGATAAGTTTTAGGTATTTTGCACTTTGAGTTGACATTTTGTTAATTAACAAAATTCTTGGAATAAAGTCGATTGGCATTTTAGACTTGAAGATCTCAGAATTTTGTCTGAATGTATACCATGCTATTTTGATCCCCCTGTCATTTCTGGAAGTAGTGAGCCAGATTTGGGTATTACTTAATCCAGAATATTCCATAAGTTAAGAATTTGGTTTGATGCATATTTTCAATCAATGTAATGTTTGTCAATAAATATTATAATATATGGATATATTAGAGACCTTTGCATTTTTGGTTACAAAAATCTGTGATATATGTTTGTCATACTTGGAGACTGCTGGTGCCAAAAACATTTCTAACCAGTTTTAACATATGGCATGGATCCTTAAACACAAATATGGGTTCTTTTGTCACAGACCGAGAAAAAGATGCCTGCAGTTCTTTTGATGAATCCAGTTCACAGCCAAATAGTGTAGCCATAGTAACATTTGCAGTTGAATTATCAAATATCATGGCAACAGCTTTCATTCAAGTACCGTGAATAACAGTATAAAATATTGTTTCAGTAAACTTTTTCTTCTTTTGATAGCCAATTTGTAAAAAAACAACCCACAGAGTTTCCACTTGCTATTAAAGACTGTTACCATAAATATCAAGGCATGTAAAGCAGCTAGATCACTCTCCTCTTCTCTTTTGCCAAAATCAAATATTCTGTCTTTGACCATCAAATTCTTTATCCTGATAGTCATCCATTTCATCTGTCAGTAAGGTACAGTATGGTTACTTTCCTTTCCTCACTACACATTTCCTAAGAAATAATAGACTTTCTAAAGTAAAACCTGAAGTCATCTACAGCTTTATACAAGCACTGTAATGTTCTTAGGTCTAGTAAACAAGACTAAAACGTTTGGCAAACATAGTTGTATATAGTGAGTAAAAATTCATTTGTTGCAAATCAGGTACTGTACATATTCTGAAGGCAAGGTTTCATCATACTTTTTAGACAACTGTCTTTGCAAGATGTCACCAGGTGCTCTAGACAAGGCATTCTGAAGATTAAACATTGGACTGGATTTTAAAGTTTTGGTTTTTGTGGTTTTATAGTGGTGTATAACACCACAAATATCTTTAAAATCCAGTCCAATGTTTAATCAAATGATGAGAAATATAAATGTACAATTACAAACATTTTCAATCCTAATTAGACCACCTTCAGGTTATTCCAAAGATCAGTGATGTGGATTTCATTTAATATCTTATTACTACATAAATCAGCTGTGTTTGTCAGTGTTGAATTCCATTTCAAAAGTCATTGAGCTTTAAGCAAAAATTTTGCTGTTTTTTTTTTTTTTTAAGTTTTGCATGCACCTAAAAAGCTTTCTGTTAATGGCCATTTTGTGAAATGTGTCATCAGCTGATGACTGTCCATCAACGCTAGGAATAGTTGACATCTGGAGATGCATATTTGAAAGTGCAGCTGAAGTGTTTGAATGACAGTGGTAAAGACGGTGAATCTTCTGTACAGTCTGAGTTTGATATGGATCAAATGTTATCTAGAAATTTTAGTTTATCCTTATTGTAGTCTGAAAATGCTAGTCATAACTTGTTGAGGTGAAGAAGAAGATTTTTGTTTAAGAGAACAGTCAGTAAACATTTCTTATTAGAATGAAACAGCTCATCCTTATTTCCTAAGTCATTACTAACATTATTAATGTTAACTTCAGTAGAGTTTATTTGATATTTATGTATTACCTGTGATTTGTTGATGTAAACTATACTTTGTTTGTTAGTAGAGAAGTTATGTTATGATCATTGGAGATTTTCATTCTATACACTTCCTCTGTTGAAAAAAAGTTATATTATTCTGTACTGATAAGTTACAGATTTACTCAAAGCAAAGAACATTATAATTAAATATAGTGTAAAGAAACATAATTTGTCACAAAACTATCATTAATGAATTCAGTGTAATCTGACAAACATACCTTCTGTATGCTAAGAGGATAATGAGAAAAATACAAGGTATTGCAACTCTTACTGTGACAATTGATGTGGATATCCTGTCTATAACTGCTTCAGCAAAGTGTTGGAAGCAGATAAGAGTAAGGACTGTTTCCAAAGCTCTCTTTGAATAACATTTAATTCATCTATCTCTCTTATATTCATCTTTTTCGGAAACTAACAATACAATATATGGATGCATCAGAAACCTTTGCATTTTATGGTCATAATAATCTATGATATATGTTTCTAGGTTATTTTAAATTACTCTGTCATGCTCAAAGAAACTGTAATCTCCTTGGTCACACCGTTTCCTATCTGTAAACATATACTTGAATTAAGAGAAATTCAAGTATATGTTTACAGTATATGTTGTGTGATGCAGAACATTTGTACAAAACATACAAAATATAGAAAACTGTGCATCTCAGTCAGAATATGGAAAAGTGAATTGTCTGTTTCAACACTATTATCTATGATAGACAGATGCACATAAATGTATATATGTGCAGTTTACAGGCAACCATATACATTCTCATAAAAATCTACAATCTAAAAATAAAGATTGTGCTTACAGGAATATACGCAATGTTTATAGGATGAAGCATGATTATTAATGTTTAAACAAACACCTCAACACGGAAAAAGCAAATTAATTGAATATAAAAAGGGAATTCATTAGTTATTAGTCTTTAGATGAAATACAAAAAA